GGAAACCAGGGCACTGTATCCTTCGACAAAGCTCAGCCCGACGGCATTTGGACTTTGCTGCTCATCAAGCTGAACAACTCTTTGGAGTGCGGCTACGTGAATCCGGTCGAAGAGCAGCCTCGCTCGAGCGCCAACTTCAACTACTAGCTGTGGCACGATCTCCTGGTAACAGGAATAGTCACTCTCGGTGGACTTTCCAGTGCTTTATTCGACAAGCACACTTACGTCACTGTCGGGTCGAAACACGATAAGAGAGACGGAATCGAGGGGAACAGTGTGGATTATGGTGAGCATAGACTGACAACCGCCATCCCATTGCATAGTGTGATATCCGGTGAGTATCATATTTGAACACACGGTTTTTAGATATTCCATAATGCGATGCTACTATTTTAATAGAATATTATGATGTTTGAATCAATACTTTGAACTGTGGTTGAAATATGAAGGAAAGTCAGAAAACATGTTAATTGTTTGGGAATTAAAAGTTGTTTTATTGTTTGGTTTTTAGTAGTTTTGAAATACATAAAATCTTCGCTTCTGAGGCTCTCAAGTCTAAAAAATTCCTTCTTTAAATTTTAACTTTTCTTTTACTTTTTTATGTTCAATCTTCTTCATTGTAAAATCTTTTTATTTAAGCGCTCTTTGCTTAATAAAGAATTATTATAACTTTTATTTTTTTTCTTAAGTGAACCATTCAAGGGCTGTCTCGGCGAGGTGCGCATCGGCAGCATACTGCTGCACTACTTCACGAATGAAGAAGTATCAAAATGCGAATTTTACGCCGCTGGAGTTGCTGAGCAACGTTGCAAAGCATCTGCGACAGCGGCTGGCAGGGATGCCTGTTAGTATTTTCTCATCTTGAAATCATTTCACGTTTTATGAAAGATTAATATTTTTTGTGATGACAATGAGATTGTGATATTTAACATTATTTTACAAAAAAATATTAACACACACTGATGTTACAGCAATAAGTTTAAAATTTATTAATATTTACGTTAATTAGTATAATCGTTCCATTATCTTTTCAAGAATTTTTGAACTCGACAACCATGATTTTGTTTCAAACTCGATTATTAAAATCGAGAGAGAAACATTTTTAAAAAGTATTACATTATAAGATCAGAATTGTTTTCTACAAAATCTTTTAATCGCAAGAATTAAAAATTTTAGGAAAAAATTATGCTGTAAATAATCTTACTTTTTAAATATTTGATTTGTCATAAATTAATTACTGACGTGAACCAAATTTTATAGAGCTACAGTAAAGTTTTTTAAATATTCAATCGACTTATTATGTTAAAAAATTTATTTTAGACATTGCAATCATAATGTTGAATATATACCATAAACACGCAAGATTAAAACTACATTCTCTAACGATCACGAAGTGATTGCGACACTTTCTTATCAACTCTTATTTTTTGTTATAGATGCGACAACGATATCAACGAGTGCGTGACGCTGAATCCCTGCAAACACGACGGCGTGTGCGTGAATGTGCCGGGCTCATTTCGCTGCGAGTGCCCGGACCAGTTTACTGGTGATTTGTGCGAAAAATTCCGACTGATCACATGTGAGAACAACCCATGCATGCGCGGCGCGACCTGCCTCGACTCGCCGAA